CCCCCCCCCCCCCCCCCCCCCCCCCCCCCCCCCCCAAAAAAAAAAAAAAAAAAAAAAAAAAAAAAAATCAATGGAAAATATATCCTTGGTCAAGGACTAACAGAATAAATAAATAAATCCCAAAGGGAGCAGAGCCCTCGACCTGCAACCTGAAATTTCTTAAGTTGAACCATCTGCAGTTACTGTTTGGGGGAAGGTTAACAATTTCAGGTGGTCCAACCCAATAAACATACTGTTTTCATTTCATTGTGCAAGATTTATTTCTTTTTCTCTTTTATTTATAGCAAAGAATGCAGTTTTCCACTTAGGACCATGATATAAACTTTACTTTTAATATGCTTTCATTTAAGTTAATAATAATAGACTCGCTTGGCTGGTGTGGCTCAGCGGTTGAGCATTGACCTAGAATCCAGGAGATCACGGTTTGATTCCTGGTCAGGGCACAGGCCCGGGTTGTGGGCTCGAACCCCAGGCGGGGGGCGTGCAGGAGGCAGCCGATCAATGACTCTCTCATCACTGATGTTTCTCTCTCTCTTCTCCCCTCCCTTCCTCTCTGAAATCAGTAAAAATATATTTAAATAATAATAATAATAATAATAGACTCTAAGCAGACCATCAGGTTTAAAATAATGAAGATGGACTGCCAGGACGTGAAGTCCAGGATTGGGGGGCAGGGACAGGGCAGGCATGGGTTAGGATTCTGACTCAGGCACCACTGCTGTCTTTGGGGCAGGACTCTCCTGTCAATCTTGGGTTTTTCAGCTGTGAAACTAGAGTAATTATAGTTCATGTACCTCTTAAGGCTATTGAGGATTCCACAAGCCAATGCATGTGGAGCTCCTAGCCCAGGGCGGGGCACCCAGGAGGGGCTGGGGACTTGGGCAGGAGTCCTGGGAGTGTAGCCAAAGGAGACAATCCACCCCACCTCTAGGCCAAGGGGTGGTGCTGGGTGCCAGGTGCCCTTGGACCCCTCCCTCCGTCAGGTTTCAGCTCAAGGGTCTAGTCCTTGGAGGGGGCCTTCCAGGCAGGGAGCTGCCATCCCTAGGCTCCTGGCTTGGCCCCTTGAAGCCATCCCCTCCTGTAAGGATTGTAACTAATTACTCACTAATTATTTGGGTAATTGTTGGAATGAGGTCTGCACCCGCTAGGCTCTGTCTCTGCTTACACATCACTCGGCACATGGCCAGGCAAGCAGAGCTGTTGTTCTACAAAATTATTATTCAATTTACTGGGGTGACATTGGTTAATAAAATTACATAGGTTTCAGGGGTACAATTCTATAATACATCGTCTGAATGAATGATGCATGAGTGGGAGAGAGGGCTTAAATGGGAGGGGATCAACTCCGGGTACAATCAGGTAGTTCTGGGGTCACCCCAAGAATGAAAGGAAGGACTGGAAGGTTCTGGAAGGGGCTGAGAATGGATAGAGAATAGTACTAATAAAGTAGTAGTGACGACCAGCTTTCCATCCATTCTATCTGCCGGGCAGTTGGCGCAGACAGGTGTTACCTCATTTTAATATTCACAACAGCCTTTCGTGGAAAGGACTGATCCAGGGGTGGGCAGAAGCAGGTTTACAGAGTTTGCTCTTGTAGCATTATTTAGTAATCATCGTATTATTTTCCATAGGAACACCTGTAAACCTACTTTTGCCGGCCCCTGTACGTTCCCATTTTACAGATGGAACAGCCGAGGCACAAAGAAGCGAAGGCACTTGCTCAGAGCGGCCGCGGCAGGATTCGACCCTGCGCGTGCGCGGCTCCTCCCGCTCAGGGAGGCCGGGGGCGTGGGAGGCGCAGCCGCGGGGTACCTGGGGGGCTGGCGGGGGGATTTCCAGCGCAGAGCCGGACAGACAAGGGGCCTGGCGGGGACAGGGGGATGACCCCAGCCGGGAAACCAGGTCACTCAGGGATAAGCCGGAAGCTTTCGGGGCTGTCCCCGCGGGACCCTGCCCGGAGTGGGCGGGGGCGAAGCTCGCGGCCTCCACGCCCCCTCCCCACGGGGACCCTCCTACCATTGTCTGGGGTTGGCCACCGCGCCTCCGCCCCCGCGCATTCTTACCGCCTGACAGGGCCGTGGTCAGGAAGGCGATCACCGGGGCCAGGGGCCACATGGCGGCTGGCGTGGGGCGGGACGGGCCTGAGGAGTTGAAGGGAGGCGTGAAGGGCTGGCCACCCCCATCTCTGACCCCCCCTTACCTCTGCTCCTGAACTTCCCAGCTGTAAGTCTCCTTTCACCCTGAAAACCCTCACCCAGGAATCAGCACCTCCTCCCCAAA